CTCTCTCTCTCTCTCTCTCTAACTCCATCGCCAACTCAACTCTTACTCACTCCCAATTTCCTTCCTTCTCCCACAAATTCACACCGCTCTTCCACAACCCTAGCTACCCTCCTCACAGTCCCCCTTCTTTTTTGCCATAAAAATCCTATCTTTCCACTGTTTATTTACCATGTCAACATCGGCGACTGACGGGTCTAACGGCGCCGCTGGACCCATTCTGGATCCTTCTCAGAGACTCCACAGCCACCAGCTTCAACCAGCTCCCACCAACACCGCCGCCGCCGCCACCAACTCCGCCCTGGCCGTCAAGAAGCCCCCCGCCAAGGACCGGCACAGCAAGGTCGACGGCCGCGGCCGCCGCATCCGCATGCCCATCATCTGCGCCGCCAGAGTCTTCCAGCTCACCCGCGAGCTTGGCCACAAGTCCGACGGCCAGACTATTGAGTGGCTCCTCCGCCAGGCCGAGCCCTCCATTATCGCCGCCACCGGCACCGGCACCACTCCGGCGACCTTCTCCACCATATCCCCATCCTCCGCCAGAAACTCCGCCTCCTCCATCTCCGCAGCTCTTGACCACAAACCCTTTTCACATTCCCTTCTCACCCCCGCCCCCTTCATCCTGGGTAAGCGGCTCCGCCCTGATGACGATGACCACCACCAGCAGCAACACCTCCCCAAGGATGACGGTAATTCCTCCACGGCCGTGGTGGGGCCTACTGTCCCTGCTGGAGGGTTTTGGGCTTTGCCGGCAAGGCCAGACTTTGGCCAAGTCTGGAGCTTTGCGGCGCCTGAAATGGTGGTTTCAGCTACCGGGGGCTCGAATAATTCTCAGCAACAGCAGCAGCAACAGCAACACTCTGCGGCTGCTTTGAGGTTTTTGCAGCAACAACAGCCTTTGGGCATTGGGGAGGCCTCAGCTGCCAGGGTTGGTAATTACTTGCCCATAGCGCAAGTGCAGGGACACCACCTCAATTTGCTGGCATCTCTATCCAGTCCACACTCTCAATCGGCCGAACAACAAAGAAGGGATGCGGACGCCAATTAAGCGGTGCCTTCTTAGCCTGTTCTCGTGGCTTGTTGATGGTGTTTTGTTGTTTTGATCTTGCTAATATGAATGGAATGAGTGAATGTGCATATGAATTTGAACTTTTAAGTCTCCTCTCAGTTTGTTGTGCTGCTTTAATGTCGGTCGGTTGCTTGTTGTGTCTTTATGGAGAGACAAGACAGACAACTCTTCCCCTCCATGTATTGCCTGCCCTCGCCTGGTGTGTTAGTCTATGTAGAATTAAGGTGTTTGCTCTTGTGGATTGCATTGTGGCCTTTTCATGTTGGTGATGCTGGTATTGGTAAATTTCTATATCCAGTGTATGCCTTTACCTTTTGGAGTGTTATTTGTAGTTGTTGTTTGGTTGATTGAAATACTTCAATTCATGTAAGGGTGTTAGTCAATAAAGGATTTGTTCTGAATTTTAATTGAATTGCTTTCTTCTTTATGCAAATTATGTGGCTCTCTGCTCATATGTTTATAAACTGAGAAAAGGAGGTTACAGGCTCTACAGGTACGTGCTTCATGCTAGTTTAGAGTGCAGCGTATATGCGGATGTGTGTTTGAAGAGAATTTGCTAAAAAGCAAAAAAGCAAAAATGATAATGGTGTGATAGCAGTATGTTATGTGGGTCCCTTGAATAGCAAAGAGAAGTGTTATCTATCGAGATTCCACTCAAGTTGAAGTCCTTTAAGATAAAGAAAGATAATTCGATCAATCGGTATGAACGATTCTGGCTTGAGGGGATTGATATATGAAAGTTTCTAGTGGTCTTGCTGTAACCTCTTTTGTGTGCTAGAGAGTTGTGGTGTTTTTGTTTTCTTATGCAAATATACAAGTTTTGATTAGTTCTTTCCAGGTTTCCGTTGGTCCTCTTAGTCCATCACTCGAAATGACATCTCTTCCTTGATTTTGGTTATGCACCCTTGTTTCCTTAAGGTACTCTTGCATTGTAGTTACGAGACCATTGGTCGAAATTTTGGCATTCGTACGATATTGTAAGTTTAGACTCTGTGTTCCTCTTGTTGCAGTATCCACGTAAACTCCAGTCATTAGCAGTCGAAAATTTTGATCTTTTCGGTTGTGTGTTGAGATCCTAGAAATATCTCCCTCCCTCCCTCTCCCTCTCTCACAAGCCGCCAGCTAGAATGTATTCTCTTGTTTCGGGCCATATTTTACATCGGTATTCTCATTGAGTATATAGATTGTAAAACAACATTCAACTCAACTCTGCAGCTGATAGTATGTTTGATATGTAGCCATTTCCATGCTGAAGGTTCTTATCATCCTTTTAGCATACTACTATTCATTCTCACTCTGAAATTTGCCAACAAGTTACCTGTGGGTGTCTCTCATTTTTGTCATCGGCCGTACCACATGTTTTTTAAGTTAATACTAAAACAAGGTTTGAAATTTTAAGTTTGTCCTCAATAACATATTTTGCTAAACAGCCCTTACTACCGGAAACCACAGAAACTGGTCCTTTGTCTTGATTGCAGTCATCAACAGGTACAAACACTGACAAATAAAAGGAAGCAAGTACTTGCACACATATGCCACTTTGTTTTTTTAAAATGAGAGGAACAAGTGTTTGTACGCACAGTTCCTCTTTTTTCTTTGTTGTATTCGGAATCATTTCTTAAAATGATACCTTCAGATTTAGACGTGTATTAGCCGAGTTGGACTATGCCGAATTTCAATGTTCAACTATTTTGAGTTGCGGTTATAATAGCTCCATCTTATTTTTTTTCAACTTTTTTTTTTTCTTCTGTACCAAAATAAAATGAAGGGTGAACATAGGGAAAAACAAGCAATCACACTTTTAGTTGATGGAATTTGAAATCAGACTTGCCTCTCAGGAGGGCAACAGACAGTGTCCCATACTCCCATCACACGGCTCAAGATAACTCCATGTGCAGTATTTGCAAAGACATTCAAACCTAGAAATTTGATTATTTACTTGACATTTAGAAAGCCTACTTCCTCAACATCATGTATGTGTTTGTCTTGAAGTTGTAAAGAAAAAAAAAAAGAAAAAAAAGGAAACGATATAGATATAGAAGATGAAGGTAAACTGGAAATATACATATGAAGGGGCACCAAACAAGCCCAGAAACAAGAAATCAAGAATGGAAGTGGAAGGATTGTTGCATTTCATCAATTTTTAGTGAGTTGTATCTGAAACCCGTTCACCAGTCGAGCTGATGGGAAAAATGACATTCGGTCCTCCTTTACCTGTCTCCACCTACAAGCCATCATTTATTCAGTTACATGATAAAAGAGTCTGCAAACCCTTTTGATGTAAAAAGTACAAACAAAACTCTTTTGATGTAAAAAGTACAAACAAAAATATAATGACCTGAAAGTAGTGAGAAAATAGTGAAGGAAGAGAGAAATCTGAAGGCGAGCCAGCTCAGCCCCCGGACAGAATCTACTCCCACCTCCAAACGGCGCAAAATACACACTGCTCCTCCAGTTCCTCTTCTCCTTTTTTTTTTTTGGTTTAAAGTTCATATGCAAGAATTAGTCACGGTATTCTTTAAATTAAGTACTGTGTACCAGAGAATAAAGTAGAAAATTTTCTTCAAAATGGCTAACCTGATTTTCTGGTTTCATCCATCTCCAAGGGTTGAAACTAAGAGGATCCTCATAAACTTGTTCGTTTAGATGGACTGCTGAAAGAAATGGCACCACAAAGCTTCCTTTGGGGATTATGTAATCTGCAAAACCTAGGAATAGATGATGAGTATATTTATAATGTATCTATATGTGTTGAGAGCTAAAAACAAGTGTTTCTGAGTACCTTCATATTCTACATCATCTTTGGCTTCTCTCATCAACCAGATTGCAATGCCTCCAATGCGCAGAGTTTCATCAATTACCTGTGTGAAGGATCAAGTAACTCAACATTAATGAAAACTTTTAATTTCTTATAAGTTGGAGTTTGGGTTAGAAATTTAAGAAGAGGACTACTAACACATTGAGTGAAAGGCATAGCTCTGTAGTCTTGCCAATTAAGCATCTCCTCACCCCTTTCACTCCTTAGGCTCTGCTGCTCATCCTGTATACATATATATATATCAACAAAATGGGTGATTTTAAATTCAACTGTGGACAAGTTTCAAAACAAATGGTGATGTACTTGGCAAGGTACCAGCAACTGCTTCATAGCTGTGGGACAATGTGTGAGGTAATAAACAGAAAAGAGCATGGTTTTAGCTGTTGTCTCATTCCCAGCAAAGAGAAGGTTGATGATGAAGTCAGCAATAGCAGCATTCGGTAAGGTTTCATCATCTATCATCCTCCCAAGAACACCTTTTCC